TTCTTTGAATCAGTTCCTTTTTTCTCGGATACTGTGGTTTCTTCTCCTTCCTCCGTAGTTCCTCTTCCTGTCCCTGTTGCGGATCCCCTTCCCGTGGTTCCCATTCCAGTTGCAGATTCACCTCCCATGCCAGTAACTACTGAGAGGCCACCAATCAAACACATGTATACTCACAGAAGAGCACCGGTCCCTCCTCCAATTCAACCCTCGTCGACAAATCTTGTCATTGCTTCTTCTTCCTCAGACCTTGATCTTCCTATTGCCCTGCGGAAAGGTAAACRCACTTGTACTTCTCATCCTATTTAACACTATGTTTCAGCTTCTCACCTTTCAGCTTCTCATCRCAAATTTATATCATTGCTATCATCTGTTTCCATTCCCAAGACTGTCCAGGAAGCCCTTACCTCCCCAGGGTGGCGGCAAGCCATGGAAGAGGAACTCTCTGCTCTACAACACAATCACACGTGGGAACTCACTACTCTTCCTCCTAGTAAGCATGTTGTTGGGTGTAAGTGGGACTACACAGTGAAGTATCTTCCAGATGGCAGTGTGGAGCGATTGAAGGCCAAGTTAGTGGCAAAGGGCTATTCTCAGCTGTATGGTGTGGACTATATGGAGACATATTCTCCTGTGGCTAAAATTGGTTCAGTTTGGGTGTTGATTTCATTAGCTGTTATGTATGATTGGCCTCTTGTGCAACTTGACATAAAAAATGCTTTCCTACATGGTGATCTCATTGAGGAAGTGTATATGGAGCAACTGCCAAGGTTTGTTGCTCAGGGGAGGATGGTAAGGTTTGTTGACTCAAAAAGGCAATTTATGGACTGAAACAATCTCCATGTGCATGGTTTGGTAGGTTCAGTGAAGTAGTGAAAGACTTTGGGATGAAACAATGTCAGGTAGACCATTTTGTGTTCAGCCATGACTCAAAAGATGGAAAAATCTTACTAGTGGTGTATGTGGATGATATTGTCATAACTAGGAGTGACAATAATGGGATTGACAGGTTGAAGAAATTCCTACAGGACCACTTCAATACGAAAGATTTGGGTAAGCTGAAGTACTTCCTGGGAATAGAAGTTGCAAGGTCAAGACATGGAATTAGCTTATGTCAAAGAAAATATGTTCTTGACCTACTTGAAAAAACAGGACTGTTAGGTGCTAAACCAGCAGAGACTCCTATGGAACTTAATGTCAAGTTGAGTGTTGATGCAAGTGAAGAGTTTGATGATCCTAGAAGATACAGGTTGGTGGGAAAGTTGAATTATCTGACTATTACCCGACCAGATATATCATTTGCTGTGAGTATGGTGAGTCAGTTTATGCAACATCCTTGGATTCCTCATTGGGAAGCAGTTCTAAGGATTGTTAGGTACCYGAAGGGTGCTCCAGGTCGTGGTTTGCTATACCAAAGTGGAGGGACTCTTGAAATAGTAGGGTATACAGATGCTGATTGGGCTGGTTCTATATCAGACAGGAGATCAACTACAGGGTATTGTACCTTCCTTAGTGGCAATCTTGTAACTTGGAAGAGAAAGAAACAAACAGTGGTGGCAAGTAGTGCAGAAGCTGAGTATAGAGCTATGGCTCATACCACATGTGAACTAGTATGGTTGAAGAACTTGCTACAAGAGATTGGGTTCTCGGTTGACAAACCCATGAGACTATACTGTGATAACCAAGCTGTTGTTCACATCTCTTCCAGCCCATTCTTCCATGAAAGAACCAAGCATATTGAGGTTGATTGTCACTTTGTGAGAGAAAGTGATAAGTGGAGTGATAACCACATCTTACGTGAGCTCAGGAAATCAGTGGGCAGATCTCTTTACAAAGGGATTGTCTCGGGGCAGAGTAGATTATATTTGTGACAAGCTGRGACTATATGACATATACTCTCCAGCTTGAGGGGGAGTGTTAGAGTACACAAAACAAGGGTATTTTGGTCATTTGGGTTTATCTATTTGAGAGTGAAGGGTCTGTTTTATTTAAGTTTAAGTTATGTGTCCCATCACTTATGAGGGACAATATGGTCTTTCTTGTAACTATGTTATTGGAGATAAATACAAGTGGGTCAACTAGAGAGAGGACTGATTTTCCTCTACTGGTCGAACGACTAAATAAGGTTTTCACACACACCATTGGTGGAATCCTATCAAGTTCTAGCACTTTCCGTTATCTTCTTCTCAAGGCCTAGACAGAATTCCTTAAACAATTAAAATCCAACTTTTGAAATATTTTATTTTCCAAGGGCTTAAATATGGGAGTATGAAGTAGTGAGTGATGAAAGGGTAAAGATATTGAATTGTCAATTTTTCTACCAACTATAATCTTGGGGTTATGGCCAATCCAAGAAATGTCCAAACAAGGTCACTACTAAGACTAATGAGCACAAGTGTTGTCTCCTTGGTCAAATAGTATATATGCAAATCAGTCAAATAAATAACCAGGATAACTTAGGATGGGTCAAAACCTCAATTGAACCAAACAGTTACCTTTATTTTTGTTTCTGTAGTTTCAATGGTTGCAAAATAAGCAACTTAATAGAAGATTATGACCTTTTTCTTGGATTAATAATAGAATCTTTATCAATATAAGAAGAAAAAGAAAAACTGTGATACATTTGTCAAAAGCCCATAAACAGGGAGAATGACCAGCCATGACACCTCAGGAGGAAGCTCAAATGAAAAAGAGAAGATAAAACCAAAAGAAAAAAAAAAAAAAAACATACCACCAATGGAGAGATGAACTCCAGTTACTACTATTTAAGGAATATGGTCAACGGAGATGCAGCATATCAGGCTATAATTTAGTATAAATCAGAAGGATTAACAGCTTGAATAAGTAGGAGCCAAATATATGATATCGCCATTTCAATCAGAATGAAAAAATCTTGTCCCCCTCTAACAGAGATCATGTATATGTCTCATAAGTCATAATCACCCTAATGAATTAGATATTAAGCATGCTAGCCAACTAGATATAAAACTAGCCCACTATCTTCACAATAAAAAATCACTAAGACAAGAATTACCTTTCCTCTCCTTCCTTCATAGACATTTGTATCAGTTCTTGAATGGTGGGTCTCCGCAGTTATCTGGAAACTTGAATTTGGGTTCAGTATGATTATATCAGCATCAGATCCAGCAAGAATTGCTCCTTTTCTTGGGTAAATATTGAAGATCCGAGCACTGCACAGTGTTACTAAGTGAAGCTATTGTCCAAATAATAAAGTTCAATAAAATTGTAAAGGATGCCTTCCAAAAATGGGGTTTAATTTTTTTCCCATCAATCTAGTTTATAGACAGGACCCTATTTTCTTATGGAGATGACAAGGTAAAATTATTTACATTAAAATATCATTATTTTTTCCAAGGTTAGCTGTTATTTTAAAAATTGGCTGGAAGAAGATAAATAAAAGATTATATGGCAGTAAGATAAAAAGATACTGCATGGAATTCCTTGATTCCAGTCCAGCAGTGGATGGACATGGAAACATAAGTCTGAATCCAATGTGTCCAAGAACCTGACACAGCAAACTGAGAGAATATGGACTCATTGACACATCTATGGAAAAGTATATATTATTAAAATAGTTCCTTTTTTTTGTATTCTAGCATTACATACCTGCAAAAAATGTTGCTTGTTCTACAAGGTAACATTTGATACAAAAATGGCATTCATCTTGCACATTAGTTCTTCATTGTGTCAAGTAAGCCAGGAAGTAGAAAGGAAATCATACAGAAGCATCCACAAAAATCTGTGAAGTGCAAGACTCTGGTGTGTCCAACACAGACACATTGTCCATTTAATCTATAGCCATGCAACACTAGATTCCATACCATTTACCCTCTACACTCCACCTGTTTTCTTTTTCTTTTCTTTACATTTTTTTTTTTTGCTGAACAACCTGCTGAACCCGATTTCCATGCATGGGTGATTATGTGGCTGCTACATCCTTTGCGAAAAAATATAATTTCCCATGGATCCATATGATAAGATATAACCTCGGTGTATCTGAACATGGTCCGTTAACTTCTAAAAGTAACCATCAATAGAACTTCATAAACATAAAATTTCTATATGCAAAGAACCTCAATTAAATCAGAGCAATGGCCCTTTTAACAGGAGCATGCTTTAGTTGTGGAAGGAGATTCTTCCAATGTCATCTCTCGCTGTTCAGGTGCAGATAGAGGTCCATGCAGTTTAGTCCACTATCTCAATGAAGAAAAATAGATACCAGCTTCAATGGGCTTAGTTCAGATAGACCCCTAAAGAGATGAATTCTATAGCTGATAGTTAACAGTTTAGCTAGATCTTCTGTGGGGAGTTCCCTTTTTGTCTTTTTTAGTCAGAATTAAGGGGTAGATCTGTAAAGTATATGTCCTCTCATGTACTTCACCTTTTGGTCAATGAATGCTTATCAAGAACAATGGGTTCAGGAGTCATCCAATTCAATGGCTGATTGTTAAGATAAGCAAATGGGTTACAACAGATCTTTTGTTTTGGGTCAAGTTGTAATTTGTATAGTTGGGGAGGAGCACATGCATATCTAAAATCTAAATGTACATGTATGGTTAGCTGAGGCTGACTATCCAGCTGCTACTTTTATAATCATTAATTTATTCTAATCAAATAATACTTTTACCAGTATCAAAAAAACTTCTTTAACAAGGAAAAGGAGCCAATACGTACCATTCTGTGCTTGTTATTTGCACATAATCTGTAACAGATATTTTGCCAGACTCCTGCATCAAAATAAAATTGTGGAACAATAATAACAAGACGAAATAGGAAAAAATCCAATTCTGTCCACTTTGTTTAAGTGAAGCTAGACAAAAAACCACAGAAACTTACCACCATTGTGTCCCAGACTAAATGCATCCTCTCTTCAATACCTGGGAATTTCATGATTGTAACATAATTGCAGGGATTAAGAAATAGAATGACAAAAAAAATGACCCTTTGATTCATTGAAATTAAATATTGAGACTATTCAAAGCTGAAATTACCATTGACACCATTTGGAATTTTTCGAAAATCATCAATACCAAGAGCTTTCTGGGTGGAATTGAATGTACAATGATCAGTTCCTACAAGCTGCACAGAGCAAAAAGCCAAATGATTAATGCTTCTGCAACCACCTATCATATTAAATGCAATAGAATCAGAAAATTGGAACCATAAGATGAGGAGAGAAATCTAAGAAAACTTTGAGGTAAAAATGAATTACTATTTATTAACTTAATATTTAAGTATATGGCAATAAGTCAGAATAAGGGCTGATTGGGAAATTTTCAACTCAGATTGGACAATATGGGGTCTGAGTCAACCCAAAAATTTGAACAATCAAGCTAAGAATATTTGGTATGGATTTAAATTAGATTTTCTGAAACCAAAATTGGGGCAAGTTTGCAGGCTCAGCAAAGAATTTCCATGTTTAGACATAAAAATCTGAAAGACCCATAATATGGTGGATCCAACATTCACCTTTCTTAAGCCCATTAGCAATATATAATCTGATACCAAAAGAATATGATGAATAGGTTGATAAATATCACAGGTGCAGACCAATATCCAAATAAAGAGATCTCATATGAGACCCCTGACCCCACAAATATTAGAGAAATCTTGCAATTAGATATGAAGGACTGCCCTGACCTGACACAAGGAAGCCATGGAATTTTTTTCATTATTTGATTGGGATGGAATTGGTGGTTCCTGAAATATTGTGGATGTGCTAGTTCAATGGAGATCTTTGGATTAGGATCAAAGAAAAGCTTTACTCAAAATTCATTATATATGCTATCTTTTAGGGAGTTGGGGAGGAGATGATAATCGTATTTCTAGAGGAAAATTTACCTCTTTTGAATCAATGCAAGATAAGTTTTTCTACCGGTTAACTCTTGGATGCTGGCCACAATTCAATGGTATTTCATTCAATTTCATCCAAAGAGATTTAGTAGGGATCCTTGGATAATCCCTTCACATCCATCAGGAAACCAACCTCCTTTGTTCATCAGTAAAGAACATGTGAAAGGGAAAGCTCTACTCTAAATCCATTGTAGTTGTACAGGACTCCTATCAGTCTTGAACACTAAGAAGTTTCAGGTTCGAAAAGAAGAGAAAGTGTAGAGGAAAGAGGAGAAAGAGTAGAGAGAGAGCAGTAGAACACAAACTTTGAAAGGAAGGACAGAATCTGAATTATTCTGCTGCCGCCACTTCTATTTAATATTTATAGGTTATGCTAGTTACATGAAAGGACACATCTGCCCTTGGTATGTACATAACACATAATAATATAAAACTGAAAAATAAATAACAACTAGAATAACAGCAGCTAACCCTAGGATGACTAGGAACATTCTGCCCTACGGACAGAGTGGGACCACATCTGTGGGGCCCACATCAGTGTTCTCTACATCCATTACACATGCCATCTGTTGGGGAGTTTGGAAGGAGAAAAATAATTGTATTTTTGAAGGAAATATCACATATTTTGAAGCAATGAAAGGAAATGCGGTCTACCTGGTTAACTCTTGTATTATGGCCACCGAAGAGTTCAAATGTATTTCATCCAATTAGATTAAAGAGATCTAGTGGAGATCCTCAAATCGTTCCCTGACATCCATCAACCAACCAGACCCCCTTTACTTGTCATTGAGGGACAGGTGAATCTTCACTTTAATGGCAGCTTATTTGGAAACCCTGGCCTAGACAGAATTGAAGGGGGTTTGTACAAATCTATTTAGCTGCCAAAAATGATTTTTCAGTGGCTTTTAATGCTAATGCACCCTTTGACCAGTCCAAGAATTGCAAAAGGGTTGCAATGTCCTCTCTTATTCCTTGCAGACTTCAAGAAATGTAATTAGATGGACAACGAGTGGGTGCAGGCCCATGGAAACTGGCACATTCCTAAATAAGATGAGGGAGAATCAAAAGTCTTCCCATCTTCCTTGAGTTTGGAATCCTAGAGAGCACAATGTTGTAGGTGAAAATCTTGTGAGAAGGGATGTAGGAAGGGTCTTTTGTTTGAGGATGGAACTTCTTCTGTACATTTTGTAAAAGTGGGCATCATTTCATGTACATTTTCTCTTCTTTAATGAAATCATCCAATTACTTGGACAGAAAAACAAAAAAGAAGAGGTGAAAATAAAATATTGACAGGATGAATCAGCAATAAAATGACAATATTGAAGTTGGTAAGTGTGGAGTATTTGAGAAACAAAATTATCCTTCATACAGGAAATAGTATACAACTCTGAAAAGTATCCAAATATATAGAAATTGTATTCTCAGGATTTTTTTGCTTGTGGAAGTTAAGACAATGGCCACCTAGAGCACTTAAGCTGTTACCCTATCAAAAACATGTGCTCATTCATGTTGTGTTTTCATTTTTGGAACAAAGGTGTAATTTAAAACTCTATAGTCCTGAGAAAGGTTTTAAATATCAATACACCTTATACACACGAACCTAGCATATTGGGTGTTTCCATGGCACGCATGCTTTGAGGGAGGTCAGCCTTAGGCCTGGCCACCCCCTGAAATTTCCCAAAACCCAAAATACCTTTTATTTAGGTGTATCAGGGTGCTATCAAAATGATATGATATGCCCGATACACCCCGATATGTAACAAAATTTTGAAGCCTAGTCCTGAGATGAGAAAGAAACCTGTAGAAGTCCTGTTGAAAGGGCAGCTTGAAGGGCTTTATTATGCCCCTGTTTCCTTATTGGTGGACTCATGACATACCTAAAACATTAAAAGAAGGTGTTATATGATTGGAAGCTTTTAAAACAGAAAAGATGGCAAGAAGAAACTGAAAGCTATATGGATTCTTGCTTTGCTGCAATGGTGAAGTCAGGGTCCCAAAGCCCGGAATCATCAAGCACAAGTCCAGAAACTACTGGTTCTCCAATAACCCTCTGTCCTGCAGTTTGGAATAAAGTGAGAAACCATCACTGTCTACATTATAAAAATCTTTGTAGAGTGCATCAGAAGTTTCCAGACATGAAACATAGCAATTTGACTTCATAGAAGATGGAAAATTGGTAAGGTATGTTTGCCTTTTAGTATCATTTTCCACACTTTAAACCAAAATTTATTGTATCTCACTTGGGATTAGTAGGTATACTTTTATTTCTTTTTGAATACCTAACTATAAATGGAAGTACAAGCACTGAGAGTCCGCAATTCAAGTAGATTCACTTGAATAAGTGGTAAACCTTTTTGTCTATAATAGTATAATATTAAAATTCATGGATGTATCATATGTATGTGTTCATGTATATATTTACATATGAGCAGATAAATGTAAAATGTGTGTAGCTGGTGTACAATATGCATAGCTGGAAGCTTCTTTTTTGCTGTAGTTGTATCTTTGTGTTCTGTAAATTGGCACTGATTGTTTCTCTATGTGTAGCTTTAGGTTTTCTTTTCCACAATAAGGAGAGAGATTGAATAGCTAGGACAAAAATTCACCTGAAAGAATTCTTCAACGTCTGAACCATTATACTTATCAAAGCAACCTTCTAAACCAGTGCAAAAATCACTAAAATTTCCATGCATACTTACATAAATTAGCCATAAGATAGCCTATACTTATATAAATCACTGAAGTAGATAGCCTATACGGCTAGCTGATAGAGATAAATTAGCACCCCTGAAGATTCATTCTAGAAAAAGAAGGCCTTGCAACAGGTCCTGATACAGTACAATCATATACTTGGGGTTTGGATTGAATTTGCCAGCAGAGATAGGTCTGATCATAGGGTCTAAATTTTTTCATCTCGGCCAGTGCCTCATGGGAATAAGAAAGAAAAAATTGTGCAGTCTTGTGTTCCTTTTGCAGTCAGTTGGGAGGTATGGAAAGAAAGAAATATCTCCTAGTTGTAGTATGATCAGCCACCTTTAGTGTCTATGTATATGCATTTATAATTAGAACCAAAAACATGGTAACTGATATTGGAATAATATTCGAGTAAGGGTGGTTCCACTAAACCCTAGAGTGACTCTAGGTGCCTGTTGAGTGATTTCAAATCTTTTCTATCATGTCTCTATCCCTGCAAACGAACCATTACAGCCACCAACAGCTCTCAAATTCTTCATCAAAAGAGCACATTAAACATCTTTAAAGGAATGAAATTGATTGAGGTACACTTATTCTTCAGTAGAAGAAAAACAGCCTTTTGAAAAGAAATGACTGTTTAAAAAGTTGCAGAAAATCAAAAGGAAGTAGCAGAAATCAGGTATCAAGAAGAGAGAAGAAGAAGAAGAAGAAGGTGGCAGCAACTAGGCTTCAGAGAGAGAGATTTTCGAACATAACCTTCTCTCTTACACCCCTAATTCCATTTCATTAAGTTAAACTTTAATAATTTACAGAGAGGCCCCTAGTTGGGCAGAAAACTAAAAAACATAACATAAGAAAGAATAAAGCCCAAATTAAGGCCCATTACATTCCCCCTCAAGCTAAGTATAGATGTCAATCATGCCAAACTTGCCAGTATCATGCTGAAGTTTAGCCTTGGGAATGCCCTTGGTGAGGAAATCAGCTAACTGTCCTTCAGAAATGATGAAAGGTAGACACACCTCTCCAGAAGCCACTCTTTCCCGAATGAAGTGTCTGTCAACTTCAATATGTTTAGTTCTATCATATTGCACTGGATTGTGAGCAATGTTGATGGCAGTCTGATTATCACAGTATAACATCATTGGCTTATCATGCTCAATACCCAGTTCCTCCATCAAAGATCTAAGCCACAGTAGTTCAGAAACTCCATGAGCCATGGCTCTGTATTCAGCTTCGGCCGAAGATCGGGCAACAACTATTTGTTTCTTGCTTCTCCAAGAGACAATATTACTTGCCACCAAGCTACAGTACCCAGAGGTAGATCTTTTGTCATCAATGTTTCCGGCCCAATCAACATCTGTGTAGGCTTCAAGTTTCATATGGCCACACTTAGCAAATAGAATTCCCATTCCGGGGGAACCCTTCAAATAACACAAAATCCACTCTGTTGCTGCCATGTAAGTATCCCTGGGAGCATGCATGAACTGACTAATGCAACTGACAGCATATGCAATGTCTGGTTGAGTCATGCATAGATAAAGAAGCCTTCCATGTAGCCTCTGGAAGACTCCCTTATCTTTCAACAATATTCCATCTGAAGCAGAGAGTTTATGACTCATATCAATAGGAGTAGCAACTTGGTCTAGCACACATCTTCCCTGTTTCAGAGAGCAAATCAAGTACATACTTTCTCTGAGAGATAAGGATCCCATCTTTGGATCTAGCAACTTCTATACCAAGAAAGTATCTCAATTCCCCCAGATCTTTGATCTCAAACTCTGTATGAAGGAAATATTTGAGATCATTAATCCCTGATACATCATTACCAGTCACAACAATATTATCAACATACACAATCAGGTAAACGGCCAAGGATCCTCTCCTCTTCACAAAGAGGGTATGATTAGACTGTGTTTGTACATAGCCAAAGCAGTCCATAAAGAGATTTCTTCAGCCTGCAGACCTTCCCTTTCATATTTGTTTCATACATCCCTGGAGGAAGAGCCATATAGACCTCCTCATGTAACTCTCCATTCAGAAATACATTCTTTACATCCAGTTGATAAAGTGGCCAGTCTGAGTGTGCAGCCAGAGATAGCAGAACTCTCATAGAAGTCATCTTGGAAACAGGAACAAAGGTCTCCAAATAATCAATCCCATATGTCTGTGTATAACATTTTGCAACCAGTCTAGCCTTGTACCTTTCAATAGTGCCATCAGCATGATATTTGATGGTAAAAACCCACTTACAACCTACTGGATCCTTCCCTTCAAGTAAATCAACCACTTCCCAAGTGTGATTCTTGTGCAAGGCATCAATTTCTATTCTCATAGCATCCCTCCATTCTGGAATAGTAAGAGCTTCTGACACAGACCTGGGAATTAGGTTAGAAGCAACGGAAGAAAGGTAGCCAAAATATGAAGGAGAGAACAAACTATAAGAAAGGTGTTTGGAAATGCAATGTGCAGTACACTTCCTTTTTCCTTTCCTAATAGCAATAGAGATATCAAGGTCTAGAAAGGATGACTCCGAAGGGGCTGTATCAGTACCTGTTGTCTCTTCTGTGACTGAAGGTGTAGGAGGCTCATGTACTGTAGGGGAAACAATCTGCTCACTTCTGGTTCTCTGCCATTGGTACAACATGGGATTAAAAAGAAGACGAGGAGGTAAAGGAGGGATAGGAACACTGGAATGAGAATGAAATGACTGATCCTCCCTTAACTCATTTGAAGGAGGAAGAGTCTCAACTGGGACAGGAAGGGGGAGAGTAAACAACTGTGACAAATTCTCCCCCTTTGGACAATGCCTTTCCTTAGAAGAATCATAAAAGGAAGAGAGCTTATCAAAGGTGACATCCATTGAGACATACCGAGTGTCAATCTTCGGATCAAAACAACAATAACCCTTTTGTGTGGGGGAATAACCAAGGAAGATACACTTGTGGGTTTTTGGTTTAAATTTATGTCTCCGGACACTTGGGATATGTACATAACAAGTGCAGCCAAAGACATGGAGAGGAATAGGAAAAAGATCCTTGTCCGATGAAGAAGAATGAAGGGAGACTTAAACCCCAAAACCCTGGATGGCATACGGTTGATTAGGTAGGTTGTAGTGAGAACAGCATCACTCCAAAATTTTGTAGGGACATGTGAGGCAAATAGGATACTTCTTGCAACTTCAACAATATGCCGATTTTTTCTTTCAGCAACCCCATTCTGTTCTAGGGTCCTAACATAGGAGCTTTGGTTAATAACCCCAAAATCAGTGAGATAGCAGGTCAGGTTTTTCTCAAAATATTCTTTTGCATTGTCGAATCTGAAAATTTTAATTCTGGTATAAAACTGGGTTAGAACAAATTCAAGGAATTGCCTTACAAGTCTAGAAACTTCATCACGGGAATTCATCAAAAATATCCAAGTGAACCAAGAAAAGTCATCAATGAACAAGATAAAATATTTGTAGCCGCCCATAGAAGGTAAGTGGTAAGGCCCCCACACATCAGAGTGCACAATATGAAATGGAGAAGAAGATCTTTTATTACTCAAAGGATAACTGCTTCTACATTGTTTTGACAATTCACACGACTCACAATGAAGACTAGACAGACTAATTCCCTTAAACAATCTTGGGAATAAATAACTTAATGCAGAAAAAGAAAGATGACCCAAACGAAAATGACATAACATGACTCGGCTGATGGACTCTGTAGATGTAGACCCAAAATCAACATGGCTCTGTCCAAGAGTGTCTAACAGATATATTCCATTCGCCTCATGGCCACTCCCAATCACTTTCTGAAAACCCAGATCTTGAAAAACACACTAGGAAGGAAAGAAGGTTACACAGCAGTTCAATGACTTAGTTAGGCTACTTACAGATAACAAATTTGTAATTAGCTTGGGTACATGAAGAGCAGAAGGAAGTACCAAGGAATCTGTAGCCTTGATGGTTCCCTTACCGGAGATAAGGGCAAGAGAGCCATCGGCTAGGGTGATTTTGCCATGACCAGGAAGTAAATCATAAGAAACAAACAAAGTGGAAAGGTTGGTCATATGATCAGAAGCACCAAAATCAATAATCCAAGGGATCCTACGATTACCTGAAATAGTTGCATTATTGGCAGAAGCCCATATACCTTCTAGGAGACTGATCATCCTTCCAAACTTCTCATACTCTAGCTTCATAGCTGCTAACTGCTCACTAGCAGTCATCTCTTCAGTTCGTATCTGTCACTATTTGGACCAGCAGCAATATTGGCACTCCCTGCCTTCATACTATCAGACTTCTTTTGAAACCGAAGAGGAAGAAGCTCAGGATGCAATTTCCAACACTTGTCTTTAGTGTGTTTTGGCTTCTTACAGTACTCACAAATAATTTCTTTCTTCCATGAGCTACTTGAAGTCCCTACAACTCCCTTGGGTTTCACTTCCATATTAGCAAAGTGATCATTTAGACTAGCCCCTTCAACCTTGACGAGTCTCCTGCTTTCTTCACTACTTACCAAGGCATAGGCTTGAGATAGTGAAACACTATCCTTGGATAAAATATTTTGCTTTGTGATTTGGATTCAGCCCTGACAAAAACTCAAACACCCTGTTTCTCTCAACAAGTTTCCTGTAGGTCTCAGCATCATTAGTGGTGTCCCAGGCTACAGCTTCTATCAAATCAATTTCTTGTCATAAAGACTTCAGTATTGAAAAATAAACAGCTAACGGTTTCTCCCCCTGTCTCAAATTCTTCACATCACTCAGCTTGTAAGCCCTGGCCACATTTAATTTCTGGGAATAGGTTTCAGCAACACTATCCCAAACCTTTGCTGAATTCATCCACAAATAGTGTTGACTAATCTGCGGTTGCATTGAATTCACAAGCCATCCAATAACAATATAATTTTCTTGCATCCACTTTTCATATGATGGATCATCTTCCAAAGGAGCTTTGCTCCCGAAGATAAAACCCCAATTGCCTCTACTGCAGATATTAATTTTTACTGATTGTGACCAAGTCAGATAATTAGTTCCATCTAGCTTGACTGTGGTCACAGCCAGTAGAGAGTCTACAGGGGCTCCCGGAACCTATCCGGATTCAGCAACATGCTTGTTTTCAACTTCTGAAGGGTTCATCTTCTTAAAATACTTCAAAAATAACTTCAACAACTTCGAATAACAACAAATGAAGACAAAATAAAAATTGTGTTGTGAGCCAACCTCTATGCAGCCGTACCAACTACCTACGTCACACCTGGAAGCCGGGAGAAATAGAGAAATCTCAGTCGCTCCTTGTAGACTTCACAGAACACCAATCCACTTGAATCGATCTTCAAGATGAAGGATGAGAAGACTTTCAGTCACTGAGCACCCAGGTCAAACTCCCTATGGGGCCCGTAATCAGATTTCTCCAAAAAATTAGGGTTTCGAGCAACACACTTGAATCTGTCAGGAGGATGACAAAACCAGCCCCCTTCTCTCCAAAAACCACTAACAACTAGGCTGAAATAGGTTTCTTTAACTATTCATACGATTCAGTTCTCCATACACACTGGGTATGGGAAAAAAGAGGTGAAAAAAGGAAAAAGTCGAGCCTGCTCTGATACCAAGAAGAAAAACAGCATTTTGAAAAGAAAGGACTGTTTAAAAAGTTGCAGAAAATCAAAAGGAAGTAGCAGAAATCAAGTTTCAAGAAGAGAGAAGAAGAAGGTAAGTTAAACTTTAGTAATTTATAGAGAGGCCCCTAGTTGGGCAGAAAATTAAAAAACATAACATAAGAAAGAATAAAGCCCAGATTAAGGCCCATTACAACAAAGAACATAAAAGATAAAAAGAATAAACAGCCTATGGGCCATTCGGCCCATCTTCTCTACATCAGTTTACACCAAAATCCGAAATTTTCTCATTTTGGGCAGTTTTTGTCCTTTTGTGCCAAAATATGTCCGGTTTCTCTCAYATTTTGGATGCCCTATAGATCTTCATAATCTCTCACTCAACCACAACCTAGATTATTCATCCTTTTCTACAAGTAAGGGTGGACATGAACCAAGCTTTTCACGAGCTATTCGAGCTCAGCTTATGAAAGGCTCGACTCGGCTCAATCTAAGCTAAGCTCGACCCCAGTGAATCTTGGGCTAGTATTATATAGAATATTCTTAATATTTTTAATTTTTATATGTATAATTTTATCTATATATATAATACTTTACATGTATAATTTTTTATTTTTTATATGAAGCTTGGATCACTATCAAGCTCAAGTTTTTTTACAGGAAATTGTAACTTTCATTGATGAAGTTAAATAAAGAGCAAATATCACCACCCAAAGGATGGTTGGATAAGCCAAAACAATATTACCTTACAAACAAGCCCAAAATAAAGCCTCCCTATTAACTCCTTGCTTAGCTAAAGCGTCAGCCATTCCATTTTCTGACCTTCTTACTCATCTAAATTGCACCCCAAGCTCCATTGCTAAGCTCACAATTTCTCTTAGTGGTTGTCTGAGTGACCACACTCCTAGGTTTCTAGCTTGCAACCACCCTATTACAGCTTAGAGTCTCCTTCCGCTTCTAAGTGTTACACTCCCAATGGTTTTGCCAATCTCAGGCCTTGGATAAGGCCTTGACTTCTACCCTTAAAGAGTCTCCCACCTCAATTGGGCTAGAGTATAGGGTCAACACTCTTTCTTCCTCATCTCTGAAAACACCCCCCAACTCCCGATGGGCCTGGATTACCTGAGGAGCTTCCATCAAAATTCAATTTCACCCTGAACTATGGTGGTGGGGACCAACTCTCTTGAACTAAAGGATAAGAGGAAGAGGATACAGCTGTAGTACTCCAACTTCTAATTAAATCAACTGGGGAAAAGTTCTTGAAAAGTTGCAAAGCTTTCAGCCAATATAGAATCTTGATGGTAATGCCCTCAACAAGTGCTTCCTTGGATTTTTCTTTCCCTTGGAAAATCATATTATTTCTCTCTTCCCAAATCAACCAAAGGATGGATGCTCTTGTTATTATCCACTATCAAGTTCAAGTTGAGCCGAGCTCAAACTCAAGCCTCATGCTTTACTATTGAGAAGAGCTTGAATAGCCAAATATTTGGCTTGGCTCAACTCAAATTCACCCCTATCCATAGATATACTCCAAATTACCAAATGCCATCACCTCTTACAACTACCCAGAGCAAGCCAATATACAAAGTTTCATTGCAAAATTCTAACCTAAAACCCCCAATTCGAAACTTTTCACAATTTTGAGACAAATTTGCACTTGTTATAATTAAGCTTTAAGACCCTTCCTAAACCATATTCTAGCTAATCAATACCTTAATATGTTCACTCTTGGGTCAAGGCAATCCCATACCACTAGCCAACTAGGACAAAAAACATAGAAGAAAACAATATTCAAATCAGTGTTTAACTTGGTTGTAGGGACCTTTAGAATCACTTTGGATGGACATAAACACGGGAGTTGGAACCTGCCATGTGTCCAAGAGCATAACTTGGCAAGATGAGAAAACATGGACTAGTAGACATGTCTATGGAAAAGTATATACTATTAAAACACTTCATATTTTTTTGAATTCTAACATTATATACCTACAAGAAGGGGTCTAATTAAAGTGTTGCCTTTGTCACTAAGTAGAATTTGGTATAAAAAATGGCTTTTATCTTGTAAATTACCTCATCATTTATGTCAAATAAGCTAAAAGGAAATTGTACGTAGAAGTGTCCTCAGGAATCCTTGGAGTGTTGAGTATCTGACATGGGGCAAATCGTCCATTTAGAAGAGTCCATGCAACACTGTTTTATAGTGATCATGAACCCCAGGGAACCATACAGAAATCTTAAATAGTAAAAGAAGATCACAGTCAAGAAACAACATACCATAAGCAAATCCATAGACCAAACCTCTCCAACACAACATGCTCTAAAATGCACAAAGGCTCCACAGTAGCAAGATTTGATGCAATAACTTACAATTTCTTTTATTCCATTTATTGTCTAAGTGTGGAAACGTTCTTCAAGGTAGAGACTAGGTCACAATAACTTAGAATCATGGATAGCACCAATCAAGTGTAACTTTAGGATCAAGGTTCAAAGATTGATGATATGCAGACATCATGGTCCCATTTCTAAGTAAATTCAAAATGCAAGTTATGCCCAATCAGTAACATGAAAGATTCTTAAAAATTGATGTCATCCCTATATGTATCTAAACACAATGAAGATAGAAAATGAGAATAGACCCTAACCTGCCTTTCTAGCTTTTGCTATCTCTTCCATTGCATCAATGCTCATGACATGAACCACATAAAGTGGTGTATTCACAAAACTTGCTAAACGAATAGCTCTACCAGTTGCTTCCCCTTCTAGCTGCAGAAGAATAGAACTAAATGAGAAATTAGATCAAAAGCATAACCTTGTAGGTATTACCAAAAAAAAAAAAGTGCTAACAAACAAAGTTACAAGTGTACCCTTGTCCAAGGATCACTAAAATAATCATGTTTTATGACTAATTAATCTTAATAACTAATTCAAAGACCCTCTAACAGAAGTAGATCAATTAGAAATGCAAGAATTAACTTAGAAGCAACTAGAAATCATCAAAACAGAATTGAAAACAATTAATTAGTGAAATCAGAGGTATGACAGTTTCCTCTTCTTGATCTTTTTTGGCTTGTCAATTGTCACATGCCTCTCCATACTTGAGTGTTGTGGCCTCTACATCAATCCCCTCCATTTGAAGAGGACTGGTCCCTGATTCTTGTAATGCTAGCATGAGCTGATGGTACTCATAAAGGTTAGCAACATTGAAAGTCCTAGATATATTCATGGGAGTACCTAAGTAGGTACGTCCACCACATAGGTATTGTTACTAATCTTCTTCAAGATCTTGTAACCTGTTGGCAATTTATCCTCCGTAAGAAACACAATCACCTCATTACCTTCTCTGAAAACTTTAAAATGCCTATTCTAGTTAGCTGCTTCTTTGTACTTGGCATTGGCTACTTCTAAGTGCTTTCTTTACTTCTTCATAAGTGGAAATAATCTTATCAACAAAAAGCTCTGGTGCTATGATATACCTCAACATTCTTGGAAGTGGAACCAAGTCCAATGTATGTCAAGGAGTATGCCCCACGACTTGAAAAGTTTTGGGTCATTCCTTTATTCCCAAAGTTGCAACAATGAATAGATTAGAAGTATGGACACTTCCCCTATACTTGCGCTGCTGTATTATGTGGCTGTGGCCATGAATTATAAGTATGGTCACTTCCCCCATACCTATAACACTTGTTCCCAATAGATGTTCCTAGGGATTGCTGTTTCTAGGCTGCTTTCTTTACTGTATAGGTTGGTTTTATTTCATGTGTGGTTGATTTTGTTTCTCCATAGGCTGATATTTTCACTAATAGATATCAGTGAATCGTGTAATAGGGGCTCCAGCTCTTAGAAAAGTCATGGAGGTGTGCTGGTTGTCTCTAACAACCTCCTTTCCCCTTTCAAATGTTGTCTCAACCCTGGACATCTCACCTAAGTAAAGCCTTCCAAGTTGTTGGCCTCTGTTTGGATAGCATTCAAGGTGCTTTCTAGCCTTAATAGCAAGGCAAATGGCCTCATTCAAGTCTCATACATCTCAGTCTGCCATTCTTTCTTGTATGGCTGATTTAAGGTCATTAATATAAAATGTAGCCTTTTGTTATGTGGTTTTAGCCAACTCATTAGAAACTGAAAGTCAAAAAAACTCAGATGCATACTTCCTAATACCACCTGTACCTTGCACACAATGCAGCATTGCTGAAACGAATATTGATCAAAACTACACAGAAGGAAATGAGCCTTAAGTAACTATTTCATTCTCGTCAAAGTTCTAATGGATTATAAGGCTGTTAGTTCATGTTATGTAATTGATGATGCCATATCACCCTCTCCTTTCCAGGGTTTGATGTAATTTTTCCTTGTTATAATAAAACTCCTTTTGCTTTTCCTTCACAAAAGAAATGCTTTCCTTACAATATTTTAGAAAGTCTAAAAATGAAATTCTAATAAATTTTCATAATAATATAAGCTTGTAAAAAAAAGGAAAAGATGTTTTAAGTCTTACCACAGGAGGCCTTGAAAGCACATGACCCTCTGGACCAGTAATACCAAGTTCTATCATCTTTTTCTGACCCTCAGCTACAGCATCTCCATTTTCTGCATGGACCATAGCTAAGGCACCAAGAGATTTGCATGCTTTCATGCCTTTCAGTAGAAGTTCATCATTAATCATAAGAGACCCTTTGTAGGCAAGAAAAAACTTGAAAGAGTTGATACCTATGAGCCACATGACAAGACTTAGAACTCTCCCCAGATGGAAATAAATAACTACATCAGGATACCCATAATAATGGCCCTTCAACATAATGAACTTCTGGTTGATAACCAATTCAAAAGGCAAGATGCAAGTAGCACATGCTAACCTTTCTCCTTAACCATAATCTCCATCTCTCTTTCAACATATTCATCCCATTTTGTGATGGCCATATGGAAACCATAATCCATGCATGATTTCTTTGCTTTTTTTGCATAGGCTTCGAACCCAGCAGATAAACTACCATTAACTGGTATTACAAAGTCAATGTGCATTGTTGTTCCCCCTGATAATGCAGCAGCCTGACCACTGAAGAAGTCATCTATGGTCTCAGTACCCATAAACTCCATCTCTAGATGCGTGTGAGGATCAATCCCTCCTGTTAATCATAGAAATCAAAACCACAGTCCATTATTAAGATATGAATAGTATAAAAAAGCACATGGTAGTGTTTATGCGATAGCTTAAGATTATAATATATATATATTGGAGATTTGAGATTTCATTTCATTTAAGAGTGATTGGATGAAAAGAAACCATCCTCAATTCCTCTATCCAATGCATGCCATGAATTGATAAGGGTAGGAAGACACAATTGTAGGGTGTCTTGACAGTAAATCTGATTGAAGGTTACAGTAAAGAGAAGAGAAGAGAAGAGAAGAGGATAGAAGAGAAGAGAAGAAGGAGGGAAGAAGTGTTGAGGCAATGGAACAGTGCTGGCGGCGCCAGCTTCATTATAATATATAGGGCGAAAAAATAAGAAGAGAAATGACCCTTGTGCCCCTACTAAGTGGTAGTACAATAATAGATTAAAATAAAAAAAGGCTTTAATCATCCAAACAGACCCTAACAAACATAAAATCAATTATTTTAACACTTTCAACACTCCCCCTCAAGTTGGAGCATATATGTCAATCATGCCCAACTTGTCACACAAATCATTATGTCGCACATGATGAAGGCCTTTGGTGAAAATGTCTGCAAAAAAGGCTTTAATCATCCAAACAGACCCTAACAAACATAAAATCAATTATTTTAACACTTTCAACACTCCCCCTCAAGTTGGAGCATATATGTCAATCATGCCCAACTTGTCACACAAATCATTATGTCGCACATGATGAAGGCCTTTGGTGAAAATGTCTGCAAGTTGTTCTTCTGAGCTGACATATGGGGTGCACACTTCTCCACTTACAAGTTTCTCTCTAATAAAATGCTTGTTCACTTCAATGTGTTTCATCCTATCATGGAGGACTGGATTAGCTGCAATGTTGATAGCAGCTTTATTGTCGCAATAGAGTGACATAGGGTGCTAACTGTAAAACTTAGTTCTCCTAACAGAGTTCTTATCCACATGATTTCAGCAACTCCATGAGACATAGCTTTGTATTATGCTTCAGCACTAGACCTAGCCACCACAGTTTGCTTCTTACTTCTCCATGTGACTAGGTTTCCCCTACAAAGGCACAATATCCACTGGTAGACTTTCGGTCATCAACTGCCCCTGCCCAATCAGCATCAGTATATACCTCCACCTTTAAATGTCCATGTTTTTGAAACAGCAAACCAGCTCTAGAAAACTTCTTGAGGTATCTGAGGATCCTCTCTGCAGCTTCAAGGTGAGTTGTCTTAGGATTGTGCATGAACTAACTAAGGACACCCACTGCATAAGCAATATCARGCCTGGTCATAGACAAATACAAGAGTCTCCCTACAAGTCTCTGAAACTTCTTCACATCTTTCAAGAACTCTCCCTGACTATCTCCCAGATGATGGTTAGGTTCAATTGGTGAGTCAATTGGTCTAACCCCCAGTTTGCTTGTATCTTCTAATAGATCTAGTACATACTTCCGTTGGGAAATAAAGATGCCCTTGTGAGAGCAGGCAACTTCAATTCCAAGGAAATAACGTAAGGGGCCTAGATCTTTCACCTCAAATTGAGTGGCAAAGAACTTTTTTAGTCTCTGTATTTCAGCCTCCCAATCTCCTGTGATCACTATGGCATCCACATACACAATTAGAGCTGCAATTTTCCCTTCACCTTTCTTTACAAATAGTGTGTGATGTGTGATATGACTGGCATTGTTTGAACCCCATCTGTTGAACTGTTGAGTGGAACTTACTAAACCAGGCCTGAGGAGATTGTTTCAACTCATATAAAGATTTTTTTAGCTTGCACACTTTCTGTTCACTGCCTTTAGCACAAAATCCTAGAGGTTGGGTCATGTACACTTCCTCTTCTAAGTCACTATTCAAGAAAGCATTTTTGATGTCCAACTGGTGAAGTTCCCAGTCAAGATTTGCTGCTAGTGAAAGGAGAATTCTGACAGAGTTCATCTTGGCTACTGGGGCAAAAGTCTCTGCATAGTCCACTCCATATACTTGTATAAAACCTTTTGCCACCAGCCTGACCTTGTACCTTTCAACAATTCCATCAGCCTTGTGTTTCACTGTGAACACCCACTTGCACCCCACTGGTTCCTTCCCTTCAGGAAAATCCACCAACTCCCAAGTGTCATTTTTATGTAATGCATTAATCTCTTCCTTCATTGCATCTGTCCATTCAGGTTTGGATAAAGCTTCTGCCACATTCTTAGGAACAGGGATACTGTCAACAGAGGAGAGGAATGCACGATATGAAGATGAAATATGATCATAGGACACAAAGTGAGAGATAGGATGGTTAGTGGTACAAATCTAACACCCTTTCTCTTAGCAATAGGAACATCAAGATCATTAATGACAGGGGAATCAACATTGAGAAGAGCAGGCATATCAATAGAAGCAAGTGTACCTAGCTAATGGGAAGGATCAACCTCCGGTGAAGCCGATGATGTTGGTTGCATAGTGTCAGGTTCCACGGCTCTTGAACTCTGTTGGCTTTTGTGGCGGCGAAGAAAGACACAGAATGGAGGAGGGTCAGGTAGAGGAGGTATTGAGTCTGAGCCTGTTTCTCCTCAACCCTACTCTCCCCATGAGGAGAAACCGAGAAGAAAGGTTGATTCTCAAAGGACACATCTATTGAGACATAGTACTTACGAGAGACGGGATCATAGCAACGGTACCCCTTTTGAGATAGAGGGTAACCAAGGAAGATACAAGGAATAGCACGAGGATCAAATTTACCCCGAGTAGGTGACAAGTTATGAATAAAGCAACGGCACCTAAAAACACGCATTGGAATGGGGAACAATAGAGCTATAGGAAACAAAAGCTGATGTGAGACTTATACTCTAGTAACAAGCCACGAGTTACTTAGAGAAGATGATGGTTTTTTCTTTCAGCAACACCGTTTTGCTGAGGTGTCCTAGCACAAGAGCTTCGTTGAAGTGATCCACTCGAAGCAAAGAATTCTGTGAGATCACTATGGAAGTATTCCTTTGCATTGTCCGACTGGAAAATATGGATTTCGGTTTGGAACTGAGTGAACACCATGCGTTGAAAGTCTTTCACAATTTTAGACACTTCCTCTCTAGATCGCATAGGGTAAACCCAGGTGTATCTAGAGTAATCATCAATCAAGGTAATGAAGTACTTATATCCAACCTCAGTAGGTAGAGTAACAGGGCCCCAAACATCAAAATAAACAATATGAAACGGAAATTCAGATCTTTTATTTCTCAATGGAAAAGAGCTTATACAATGTTTACTCAATTGACATGTCTGACACTGAAACTGACTCACTAGCAAAGACTCAAACAACTTTGAAAACATAACTTTTAACGACTCAAAAGAAAGATGACCAAGACGACTATGCCATAAATAGGCTTGACTCTCACTGGACGAACTCAATGACTCTGTAGCCACAAGACCAGCTTTATTCTCCAACACGTAGAGGCCAAATCCTGAAACACAGATGAAGACGGATAGAAAGTAACTGAACAGTTCAAGGAGTGAGTAATAATACTAATGGAAAACAGATTTATAGGTAATTTAGGAGAATGTAGTACGTTAGAAAGGGTAAGGCCGAGTGGGAGAGATATGGTTCCTTGGCCGGCTATGGTGGAGAAAGAGCCATAAGCTAGTCTCACCTTATCTCTCCCAGAGAGAAGATTGTATGCCTGAAATAAATTTGACTTACCGGTCATGTGGTTTGAGGCTCCGGAGTCAATTACCCAAAGGGAATCAAAGGTACGAGATGACACAGGAAAGGCAGTGGCAGTGTTACCTGAAGCAGATGCAAAAGAGGTAGAAGGAGTAGGACCAGTATCCATCTGGCGAAGAGTCCTACCGTATAACTCCAAATGGTCACGGAAGGAGTTGATGATCTCTTCCTTAGGGTCAGAACTGGGATGCCTTTCCTGAGTTACCATGGAACCAGTCTCTTGAGATGCCATATTAGCTGAGTTATACCTTTTCTAATTCTGATGACTTGGTTTCTTGCCCTGATCAGTTGTTGACTTCTTACCCAAATCCTGTGCCCATTTAAGTTTTCCATGGAGATCCCAGCAAGTATCTCTGGTGTGTCTTGCCTTCTGGCAGTGACTGCACCAAAGCTTACTCTTATCATTTGTTCTCTTCTGAGAGTCACCCTTCTTAACCACCTCCAACATTAGTATCTAACTTCCCTGAACAGCTAGAGCAACTGGCTCCCCCTCTGTAGAATTCATCACATTTCTTCTACTTTCTTCTGACTGAACCAAGGCATAAACCTCCTGAACTGATGGCAAGTCTTTACTTCCCAAGATCTGCACCCTGATGGACTCATATGAAGGATTCAGCCCCAAGAGTAAGGCAAATACCCATTGCTGAGATACAAGTGATTTGTATGCCTTTGCATCCTCATCAAACTTCCAATTAACATTCTGATAGTGATCAAGTTCTTTCCATATCGATGTCAGATCCGAATAGTACACCGAGAGACTCCTTTCTCCCTACTTACAAGTGGACGATTCAGCTTGCAGTTTGTATATCTTGGCATAGTGTCTCTGCTCTGAATAGGTGAACTTTGCTTGTTTCCATATTTCACAAGTAGTTTCAGCCCACATAAAAGTTTTTCTCACCTGTGGCAGCATGGAAACCAAGAGCCAAGACATCACCATACTATTTTCTTGGTTCCATCTATCATATTCAGCACTTCCACTCTTCGGTTCCTTCACTTTCTCATTGATGTATCATATTTTTCCTCTAGCAATGATGTAGAGTTTTATTCCCCTAGACCATTCAAGGTAATTCAGACCATCAAAGGAAATGACAGCCATGGGGAAACTCATATCCATTCTCCACACATAACAAGTGATTAGTCCACCCACACTGCAGTTTTTGGACTTAATCTGAGCACAAGACCAGCACCAATTTCCAGAATAAACAAGATGACAGATCTGATTTTCAGACTTGTACGGAGTAGCAGTCCCAGCCAACTAGTTTTCTCAGCAGGTC